GCACAAGCCAAACCTATTATCCAAACAGGGGCACTTCTGAAAGTGAAAGGAAGAACCTATTATCTCAGGACATCAGGTAAAATCCATGAGTCTTGGCAAACTGCGACACATGGTCACTTCTATTAGGTTTCTCACTTCCATTGGTTTTAGGTTGTAATTGCTCCTAGCATAGAAGACCTGAACGACCTATATTCGTCTCCATAAAATACTAAGATTAAGTTAAAAATAAGCTTTTCCCACCCTAGCTGGTTTGGCTGTGGCTATAGCGTCGGCCTGTGGACTAAAGGGTTCTGAGTTCAGTTCTGATCAAGGGCACATGCCAGAGTTGTGGGCTTGATTATCAGTAGGGGGTGCGCAGAGGCAGCCAATCAACGATTCCCTCTCATTATTGATATTTCTCTCTTCCTCTCTGAAATCAATTAAAACTTTTATTTTTTTTTAAAGCTTTTCCCAAAGCAAGGCAGATTTTTATTTCTAATCCAGTTGGCATCCAGTACTTTCTGGAAAGGAGCTTGTTTTTGTATAGAGTCCAGAATCCTGACTGAAGTAGGATAAATAATGTTTCCCAATCAACAATTAGCACTGGTTTCTCTTGGATTAAATTTCAGTAGGCTCCCAGTAATTAAGTGCCAAACTGTTTTCATACAGACTTCCAAAAAGAAACTCAAAGTGGTAAAATGAATAATGCAATGCTTTAGCAAGCTAACAGTTCAGCTCAGAAAAATACATAATCTTTCTTAATTATTAAAGAATATATTTTCTAGGTTGATATATTAGATTTAAAAAATAAGAAAAAAACAAAACAAAAGCTATATGATTTAGAGGTTGTGGTAGAATGTGTTGCTCTTTCCATACCTGACTTCTGTTAAATCTATTGTGCCTTGCAGGTAGATTTGTAAGCAGTTATAATCTAGACACTGTCTTTTTAAAAGTTGCTTAAGGAATTATTTAAAGATGCATAGTCTTTCAAAACTCAAGCTAGAATTGTGGTGGGCAAAATGTAATCACTTTATTACAGTTTCAGAAAAAGATATATATTAACTGCATGATACTTATATGATATCTCTATTGTACACAATGATTATCAAAATGCCCAGAGACTTCAGATATTTCTAAAATAGTAGTAATTATTCAATTAGCTTTAAAGACATCTTATGGTTTAAAAGTTGCATATGCAATATAACACCCCAATTTTCTCATATTAGAGAAAAAAATGTAATGATGTGGTACATATATACAGTGGAATATTATTTCTTTTGCCCGGCCAGTGTTGCTCAGTGACCGAGGGTCAACCCATGAACCAGGAGATCATGGTTTGATTCCTGGTCAGGGCACATGCCTGGGTTTCAGGCTCAATCTTCAGTACAGGAGGCAGCAAATTGATTCTCTCTCATCATCAATGTTTCTATCTTTCTCCCCCTCTTCTTTCCTCTCTCTGAAATCAAAATTTAAAAACATATAAAATACAAAAAAACAAACAAAATGATTACCTCTTTCCCTTTAAATGACAAATATATATATTTTTTGCTATCAACTGATTCCTTTATTAACTAAGTATTACAACATTCACTAGATGCAAAGCAATATACTCAGAATTTACCTAAAATGACAGAGCCCCAAACAGATCTTAAAAGTTTTCTCAAAGAACAATTCCATGAATACACATTTGAAACTCAAAACATTACCTATTCTGCCTGGCTAGCATGGCTCAGTGGTTGAGTGTCAACCTATGAACCAGGAGATCACAGTTCAATTCCCCGTCAGGGCACATGCCCAGGTTTCGGGCTTAATTCTTACCCTCTTCACTGCAGGCGTGCAGGAAGCAGCCAATCAATGATTTTGTCTCATCATGATATTTCTATCTCTCTCCCTCTCCCTTCCTCTCTGAAATCAATAAAAAGATATATATTTTAGAAGAAAACCAAACAAGACATTACTCATCCTAAAATCTGCAAAGACAGTAATCGTCCAATTAAAAAATACACACAGTCAACTAAAACCACATGTAATGCATGTCATATTACTGTGATACTACAGAGGGAGCTGCTAACACAGATAAATAATATATTAAGTTGAAGTAAAATAGTAACTTAAGATCCTTTTAAATCTTCAATATTTTCGTACTTAATGTATTATGTTGTCATATTTTTCAGATGGAAATTACAGAGAATTTTTTTCCTTTGGCTATAGTATATTTATACTGAAAAGCATAGGATATAGAAAATTTTTTAGGATATTAAAAGAATCAGCAAAGACAGATCATATATGTAACTAAGGCATATCTTACGTTTCCATTTAAAAACCAATTTTTAGTACCCTGTACTCCAAGCTAAATCATGCCTTCCTAAAAAGTCTTTATACTCACGTGGCAACTATAGGTTTAATTCCTTTTTATGTTAAAGGATTTGGTGTTTTCCAAATGGCACCACCACTGGAAAACACTTTTATTTTCTGTGCATCATTCTACATACAGCAAAATATTATACGAGAGAAAACAAGAATACTGAAGTTTAGACTCCCTGTCCCTCTCCCTTCTTCTCTGTAAAAAATCAATAAAATATATTTTTAAAAAGATAGGAAATATATATATACACATACATATATATATATACATACACACACACACACACACACACACACACACATATATGTATATATAATGAATAGCTGAGTGTTCAGTGAAGAGAATCTAAATATATCTGGCATTTTTTAAATATACCCACATTCACCAATTATCTTATATGAAAACATTCTTTCTCCACATGAAAGTCTATTTTCAGTAAAGGGTTAACAAAGCAGATCTGGGCTACCAAAATCCTATACCTTTCCAAAGTTTTTAGGATTGGCTCCTGGGAAATAACCTTCGCAGCCCTGCAAATCCTGCCTCCTAAGAGTATCTCAGTATGCCTGGGGCTTTGGCCTCACCACAGTTAGGCTAACAATGTGATTCATGGTATACACCTATTTTTGTTTGCTTGGAGCCTTGGTTCAAGTTGTATTTGTTTAAACTCTGGGTAGGGAGAAGGTGGAGGGCTGGAGACTGAGTAGCTAAGATCAGTTCCTTGGGTGCTCTATGCTTACTCACCAATGTCTAATTAGAACCCTGGACCCCAAGGCTCATGTGAGCCTTCCTAGTTGACGAGGTTGCCTGTGCTGTCATACATTGTTGCTGAGAGAATTAAGCTCTATTTGCCAAATTCCAACAGGAGAGAACAACTAGAACTTCGTGCCTGGTTTCTCCTGAACTCTGCTTATACACCTTTTTCTTTTGCTGATTTTAATCTCTAACCATGAGTAAAACAGCTTTCCTGGGTCCTCCGAGTCCTTTCATTGAACCCAAGGGTGATTTTGTGGACACAGCCTAAAATAGAGTAAAACTCTTATTTACTAAAGAGGATTTCTTCTTATTTCAAGGTTTGCTATCAGCAACTTTATTTCCAAAGAGGTAGTTAGTAGTACATACTCATAGGGGTGTCTCCTAGTATGTGATTCCCTTCCCATTAAGGCAAAGGAATTAATGCTTTTTCCTCAGTGGCTACTAACGACATATAGTCAGGAGAGAACTTTCTCAATTCTTCTATCTTTAAGTTAATTTTGAACTTAAAAAAAAAGGGGGGGGGGGAGGCGAGAGGGGTGTCAGAACCACCTGGCATGGCTCAAGACCTCAGGTATTCAAAGACACTCTTACCAGCCAAGAGTTTGTGAAGGGCCGGATCCTTCTTTGGAATGTGCAGGGCTGGAGTACCCCAAGTTCACGGAATTAACCCTTTGCAAAGGGATTAATTCCATAAGAGATTCATGGGTTAAAATATCACCAAGGATTATAGCATTTTGGTTTATTAGATCAAAATATCCCAATGTTGATCAGTGATAATTCTATCACCTCACATGGTTTCCCAATTCCCTAGTACTTTAACTGTTCCCTTTCCCCTTGGGAGGCTCTTAATTGTTCCAAATTATTAAGAAAAATATCGAAGATAATTGTCTAGTATGGAATTACCTGCCTCTTAAGTAAGAATGAGATTTTAGTTTAGCTCACTGCTCAATCAGAAAAAGCATCTTGCTTTTATATTGATTTCCATTCTGAGACACAGGCCTACTGTTAATAAAAAGCCTTGAGTGAATAAACAGTACTATCATGAACTCACTAAATTAATGATTTAGGACTTCCTGTCTTTTACTTAAAGCTTACCAAGTTAAATACAGAATGGTAAATGATGATTTTTGCCTAGGAATGTCAGATGGCCTAACTTGTCTTAATATTTTCTATGCATAGGCCCAGGAACTATTACCAGGCATTATTTTACAGTTTATTATTATCCATGATACCCAATATACTATTTTTACAAATTAACTGTAGCAGTGATAGGAGAATGTTAAAGCCTCTATCCTGAAAGAATCATGTATGTAAGGACTGAACTACATACTTAGAAGAACTAATGCTTGGAATTATCCCCAACATTTACTCACTCTGTGAAATTGGTCTTTTTTTCTTTTAATCTTTTGTGCCTCAATTTCCTCTTCTGTAAAATGGGAATGTTTACAATACCTTCCCCAGATGGCTGTTATAGGGATTAAATAAACACATTTCTCTAAAGAACTTAAGAGTTGTGCCTTGCATTTGATAAAAACTCACGTAAGTCTTGTCTGTTACCATCACCATCACCACTGCCATTATTCCAAGGAACTTGGGACATTTAAATTACATTACTAGATCTTTAATTTTTACCTTACTCCAAGTGGTAGGAAACAGGACAATATTATCCTCTTGACTGACAGGCAGTTATTGTATAGTCACAAGAGCACCTTATTGAGTTCCAATCAGCTTAGCTGCCTCACTGGTTTCATCTGCAAAATGGGGATGGTAATAACCCATCTAAAGGATGTGTGCAGATTAAGTAAAATTTCTGCCCAGAAGTCCTGTTTTGTGGTATCATTACTCAGGATATATATTATAGATAATACTAAGCTCTGCCAGATACTTGGGATTTCAAAATTACCTGATTCCAGGTACTCAACCACTTCTGCAAGGATGAGATTTAATACCCTTCAAGGCAAGAACCCCAAAATGGTGCTAGAAGAACAAATTAATAAAAAAAAAATGTGTCCCCTTCTTTCACATTCCCTGGTTAGGATACATTTCTTCAAAATAGTCAATGTGTGGAGGTTGGAGTATGTCAAGGGCAGAGAGTACCTAAGAAAAGGGAAAAAAAAAAAAAATTTAGAGAACTATAAAGGAAACAACATATGACATAAATGCAAGTAAATACTGTTAACATGTTAATGATTTAAGGTTTAGTTACAATTGCCCACTGAGATTAAATTTATCAGTCAAGAAACACAGTCTTGAACATTAAGATGAGTTTATAAATTTACTGCTTAAAGGATAATTCTATCTATACCAAATGAGGCAATTGGGTTATACTAAATGCTACCAGAACCCCTGAATAGGATCGTGTTAGAAAGAAATGTTCTACTTTTAATAATCAGTATTGCTCTAAGAGCATAAGGAGCCATACCTACCATTTATTCCTTTATTCTTCTGTTAAAAAAAATGTTTCACGTATAATTGAAACCTACATAATTTTATTAACCAATGTCACCCCAATAAATTCAATTTAAAAAGAAAAAGAAAAAAAATGTTTCAATAAGTGTGTTCTACCTGACAGGCACTATGGCGGGCTCTCAGGCTATAAGAACAAAACTAATATTCCTACTCTCATGACTGGGGAAGAGGAAGGCATTAAACAGTTACACAAATATATAATTATGACATTTATTATTGTGCAGGGAAAAAGTAAAGAGGAGTGTGGAGAAAAAACTTCCCTGTGGTAATACTACTCTGAGTGGAAGGCTGAGTAGAAGTTGGTCAGGCAAATGCAAGTCATTGATGCAAGAAAGAACCAAGAGATTCTAGAAGCAGAAATGCCAGTGCTTATGGAATATAGTGGGTGGGAGAAAAACAGATTGGGATAAAACAGAAGAGAAAGGCAGGTGATAATCACATAAAATTTATTTAATTATGTTAAGCATTTTGAATTTTATCCCAAGTCCCCCAAAAAAGTCACTCAGGTGGGAAAAATACACTTTATGCCATTTGAAATTCAAGCCCTTTATAAAAGCTATCAATGTAGTATGCCATTGAAACATAACAAGTAGGCTTACTTCCCCTACTAGCTACTTTTTTAAGTCCCAATTATGATGTCACATTCAAGAATCTAAACCTACCTTGCTAGTGAAAAATACCAGGCTCAAAGGACAGGGAAGAAGTTATTTAACAGGAAGTAAATTCTGTGGCAGTACAAATTCAAATTTTCTGATTTTGAGCTTAGTTTATTAAGAAAACATTTTTAAAATTATGGATCATTTTAAATACGTAAAATGGGCAGAAGAGCATAAAGAATACTCATGTAGCTGAAACCAGTTTGGCTCAGTCGATAGAGCATCGGCCTGCAGACTGAGAGGTTCTAGGTTCAATTCCGGTCAAGGGCATGTACCTTGGTTGTGGGCACATCCCCAGTAGGGGTTGTGCAGGAGGCAGCTGATTGATGTTTCTCTCTCATCGATGTTTCTAACTCTCTATCCCTCCTTCTCTCTGTAAAAAAATCAATAAAATATATATATAAAAAAAGAAAACTCATGTAATTATATAAATACTCATATAAGTAAGCTTGGTTGTGATCTATACATGACCATTCTTGTTTCATCTATATCCTCCACTCTCCTTATATAATTTTGAATATATAAATACTAGGTTTATTTTAGCCATACATTGGTCAGTATCTTTAAAAGATAAAAAACTTAAAAAACATAATTATCAAATATAAAAATTTAATATTTTATTTTTGAACTGAATTAATACCAGTTTATTAAGAATAAGAACAGCCGAAACCGGTTTGGCTCAGTGGTAGAGCGTCGGTCTGCGGACTGAAAGGTCCCGGGTTCGATTCCGGTCAAGGGCATGTACCTTGGTTGCGGTCATATCCCCAATAGGGGGTGTGCAAGAGGCAGCTGGTCGATGACTCTCTCTCATCGATGTTTCTAGCTCTCTATCTCTCTCCCTTCTTCTCTGTAAAAAAAATCAATAAAACATATATTTAAAAAAGAAATGACCGCCAAGATCGATTTGGCTCAATGGATAGAGCGTCGGCTTGGGGACTGAAGGGTCCCGGGTTCGATTCCGGTCAAGGGCATGTGCCTTGGTTGCGGGCATATCCCCAGTAGGGGGTGTGCAAGAGGCAGCTGATCGATGACTCATCGATGTTTCTAACTCTCTATCTCCCTTCCTCTCTGTACAAAAATCAATAAAATATATTTTAAAAAAAAAAAAGAAAAAAAAGAAATGACCAATGTACTATATACACATGCATGTTTCTTAATACCACCAAATATGCAGTGCTCAATTTCCCCCCCAAATTTTTTTTTTAAGTTTGTTAGTCTAAATCAGGAGCTAAATAAGATTTACATGTTCTGGTTGATTTATTTCTTTTAATCTACAGATTTCTCTTCCATCTCCCTTTCTTTTTCTCTTGCAATTTACATGTGGAAAAAAACCTTATTCATTTTAAAGGTTATTCTTTTTTCAGCCAAGCATTTGTCACTTTAAAATTTTAAACTAAAACCTTCTATAATGAAAAACCTTCACCTACTTTAAACATAAACGTTTTAAAATAGTTTAGATGTTTATTATAAAAAATATCTAGTTTTCCTTTCTGAATTAAAATGTTTATACTTAGAAAAAGTAACAGATTTTCCAGTTTCTTTAAAGAATAATTTTTTATCATATAAAAGATTTCATTTCTATATTTAAAAAATCTATAATTAGTGTGCCAAAAATACATGTAAATTCATTTCTCATTATGTGATAGAACAAATTTTAACATGAATATCTGATGCCTGAGGAAGGCAGTTAGAAATTAGTGTTTTACTTGACATCTTTTGGACTCTAAACTCTGTATCTGAACAACATACATCCTGTCTTGCGGGAAAACAGAATGCCATGAGTGACGGCGTCCATTAGATGAAGCTATTTCATACTTCAAATCTATCTGCTATAATTAGAGGTTATCTAGAAGAAAGTGACAACCATACATTTAAACCTTGATAGAGAAGAATGAGGCTTTTTTACTCCAAATTTGATGAGGCTTTTTGTAGAAAAGCCATATAAGACAGGGTTAGACATTTGCACTCAAGCATTTAGCTGTGATTGTTAGCTTCAAAGGTGCAATATTTTAAACTCTGGATGGATTTTTTTAACTGCCTGTTGTTTTTTATTCCTGTTCTTTCTACCTAAAAATGTTATCAGAGAATGGTATGCCACAGTGTTTTAAGGTGGCACAGAACTAAGGCCAGGAGAAATTATCCAGGAATCTCAGAAGTGAGAAGTAAATTAGAACAGTAGCAAATTTTCAAACTCCAGACTTCATGCCTGACTCCTTATTTAAATAGACATGTGAGATTAACCTTATTTTGTAAATAGAGGAGGATGCTTAAGAGTTAAAGTATCAACAACCCTTCAAAGGATCTCAAATACAAAAAAAAGTAGGCATACTTTTTTTAATTAAAAAAAAACAAAAACCCACACAAATGAAAGCTTAAATAATGATCATTACCAAACAGTGTTTCAGCACATTTTTCAAATCGCTTATGAACTGGACAAAAGCTCATTATGATAGCCGCTGTTTAGAATTTTAACCTCTGTGATGATAGGAGAGTTATAGAAATTGGTTACTTAATGAGTAGATAGCTTAGTTTTTTTTTTCTTTTTCTTTTTCTAGTTAGCCCCTTATCAATAAAACAATTGTGAATAATCTCAATCCTAAATATAAAGACTAGAAATTTTGCTCTGGCTGGTGTCGCTCCCTGGTTAGAGCAGAGGCCAGCGTATAAAAGGATCTCAGGTTCAATTCCTGATAAAGGGTATGTACCTGGGTTATGGTTTTGCTCTCTGCCCCCAGTTGGGGCATGTGCAGCAGGCAACCAATAAATGTGTCTCTCACATAAATGTTTCTCTCTCTCATCACCCCCTGCTACCCTCCCACCCCCCAATTTCTGAAAAGCAATGGAAAAAATATTCTCAGGTGAGGATTAACAAAAAAACTACACGCTTAGCTGTTCATACAATTGAGTTAAATCCCATGTTTAGCAAAAGAGCTACCTCTTCCTCATTTTCTCCATCCCTCCCCCCCAATAGATTTTAAGTTCTTTAAGGTAGAAACTATATTATTACTATTATTTTTATAAAGTTGTAAGATATAGTAAAGTATACAAATCCTAAGTGAACAGTAATTCAATCCCCCCCCCCCCCGCCCCCCGAATGTGTAATAGGACACATTTTTATTCCATGGTTAAAATCCAGATCAAGAATTTAAGCATTTCATCAACCCAGAAGGCCTCTTTGCCTCTATCCTGTCAAAATCATTCCTCTCAGAGGTTACCCACTATTCTCATTTCTACCACCACAGATTTGTTTTGTTTATTCCTGAACTTTATATAAGTTGAATCACAGAGTCTTATGTATATAGCTTCTTTCACTTACTGGTATACCTGTGAGATTCACGGTTTGGATGACATTGAATATCCAGCTCATTTTGGGGAAAGCATGCCAATTAACCACACATCCATGTTGATGTGGATTGGTGGTTCATCCTTTTTATTAATGTAGAGTACATCATTATATGAATGGAATACAACACAATGTACTTATCCAGGATACTGCTGACAAACATCTGCGATGTTTCCCAATTTCTAGGTATTATGAATAAAACGGCTATGAACATTCATGTATAGGTCATTTGGTGGGTATATGTAATCATTTGTCTTGCATATACCAAGGGGTAGAACTGCTGGGTCATTGGGTAGGTGTGCCCCTCCCTGGGAGAGGACACACAGCTATCTTAATCACTCTCTGGCTTTGCTTTGTAATTTTATTACGTTTGTATTGGTTTTGCATGTTTCTGAGTTTTATATAAATGGAATCATACTGTGTTTATTCTTTTGTGGCTTGCTTTTTCACTCAATGTTTCTGAGATTTGTTTTTCAAATTAATGTGTGCAGCTGTAGGGCATTCCTTCTCCTTGCTGTAGTAATCCTTTGAATATAACACAACTTATTTTTCTATTTTGTTCACTGGTCCTTTTGTCTACCCTGTGTCTGTTCCCCTATGAGCTATTCTTGGTTCTTGTGCTTCCATATAGATTTTAGAGTTAGCTTGTCAAGTTTCACCAGTAAAAATCCCTTTGAGACTGTGAATGGAACCCAATGAATCTATAGATCAGTTTTGGGGGAATATACATCTATATAAAATTGAATTTTCCAGTTAATTTTATTTTGGTCTGACAGTAGACAGTGTATAATTTCTATGACTAAGAATGTGGTCTATCTTGGCAACTGTTCCATGTGAGCTTCAGGAAAATGTGTATTCTGCAGCTGTGGAGGCAGTCTATAGGTGTCAGTTATATCCAAGTTGATTGATGGTGTTGTTGAGCTCAACTATCCTTGAAAAGACACCACAATGAAAGATTGAACAAATAATAAGAGTTGAGAATTAAAATAATAGTATTTAAAAAACAATTTCAGAAAAGAGCTGGAAGATAAAAATCTCTCAAAAAATAGAAAAAGACAATAAGAGAGAAGAAAATCAGAGGATAAATCCTGTTCTCTCTGGATTTAACAGATGCTGGGCTTAATCAGAATTCAAGAGAGACAGAAAATGGAGGAAATTTTCTGGAACTGAGGGGCATACATTTCCACCTACAGCATAACAAACAATGACACACAGGAACATATCCTACTTATGGACCCGAAGAGGCTTTGTTTGAGTTAGATTAGACTAGTGGTTGACAAACGCATTAGTCAACAGAGCCATATCAACAGTACAACGATTAAAATTTCTTTTGAGAGCCGAAAACCGACTTCTATGCATGGGCCATGAAGTTTCAATCACACTGTACGTGCACGCCCACATGTGGTATTTTGTGGAAGAGTCACACTCAAGGTGCCAAAGTGCCGCATGTGGCTCTCGAGCTGCAATTTGCTGACCACTGAGTTAGACTATACAAAGGAAAACGAATGAACCTACTTTGTCTCCACTATCTCCTCTTTGCATCCTTTATTATTCTCAAGAGTACTCCAGAACGAAAAGACTGGGAAAAAGTATCTCCAAGAGAGAAATCACTGAAGTTATCATTCTAGACCCAGAGATTTATCTTTTTCTGTAATTTTCATTCATTCACTTACTCTTCAAATAGACTGCCTACTGTGTGTTTGGTGGTATTATCCAAGGACAAAAAATAAAATTAAATTAAAAAAAGCCCAAACTTGTATTACAGGGATTCTTTGCAGGAATCAATGGGTGTGAGGGGACTCTGAACGGGCTTCAGAGAACAAGTAAAAGCCTAAAACGACATGAAATTGTGTGTGTGTACATTTTTCCTAGAAAGGATCCATAACTTTCATCAGATTCTCAAGAGTACAAGATTGAAAAAAAAAAAAAAGGAAAATCTTTTTTCTTTGATGATATGATAACTGAGTGTGTGTGTACAAGCATGCACAAGAGCATGGATGGATAAAGTGAAGAATATACATATTCTAATTACTAAATAAATATTATAATTGATTTCAGAGAGGAAGAGAGAAATAGAAACATCAATAATGAGACAATCACTGCCTCCTTTATGCCCCCAGTACTGGAGATTGAGCCTGCAACCCGGCATGTGCCCTGACCAGGAACTGAACTATGACGTCCCAGTGCATAGGTTGATGCTCAACTACTGAGTCACGCCAGCTGGGCTAAAGTGAAGAAATTTTGCCAGATTTTATAATAGATCAAATTCTGACTAGACACTAGAGATAAGCCTAAACACCATCAATCTTTGCAAAGTTAAACCCATTACTGTTTGCCTAAGTTACTACTATATCAAGGTAAACATATCCTTTCAGATGAAAAACAACCTGTACATTGGAAAAATGAAAGATTGTGTGTTTATGTGTGTATCTCAGATCAACTGAAGTCAATGAATTGATATAGTGACTTTGTAGGCTCTGATCAAAAGGAAATACAAAGCCTCTTAGGGCTTTGTATAATAGCTATTCTTTGACATACAAAAACATCCAAATTAAAATCCAACCTTCCTACGACAGTTAATCTTTCTAAATGTCATTTCCATCATGACATCTCTTTCTTCTTCTATTAATCAAATCTTAATCTCAAAAGACTTATCTTAAGGTTTACCTTCTCCATATTTAAAGTATCTTTAAGCCTCTAAGTCCACACAACAATTTGTCCATTCTCCTTAATATTCACCTGAGAAGCTTAGGTACTACTGGGAGTCAACCCCGGAGATTCCAATTTAGGTGGTGTGGATGAGACCCATGAATCTCTGCATTTTTAAGGTTCACTGGTGATTCTAAAATAATTGTAGGTTTGGTTTCCCAGCTGTGTGGTATGAATAGGACACAAACTGTTCTGTATTAATGTTTAAACATGCAGGCAGCCCTACCATAGCACCATTATCACAGTACTTATCACATTATTAAACTCCTTTTAGGTAGAACCCCTAGAAGCTAATGTAGTTTAGGAATGTAGTATGTGTACAATAAAAGTTTACCAAATTAGTGAACAAGAGCTCTGAAGCACAACAGATTTAGATTCCCATCCTGTTACCTTCACCTTAGACAAGTTACTTAATTCTAAGCTTTGGCTTACTCCTCTGTAAAGTAAGGATGACAAGACTTATGTGACAAAAAAATTCTAAGGATTAAATGAATTAATGTATGTAAAACATCTAGCATAACCCCTGAGACATGATAACAAGTGTTATTAAACACCTAAAATTTTTTTTGTATCCTCCACACCACTAGCACTGCACTCTATAAACAGGACACAATTAATAAATCTGTTACCTTAACTATATAAAAAACCAGTTGCCTTTTTGACATTCCACACATAGCAGGTATGCTGGCCCTGAGATGCTTCTGGAGATAGATTGCAGAGCATAACAAATTTATTATGTGTAAAACAGTAGTGCCCTGCCATCTTCATTTCCAACCCTCTGCTTCACTTTTGAATATTCCTACAGAAGTCATAAGCACTCTCTTATGACAGAGCTTATTAGGAGCTTGAGACAGTGGTTGTTGTGTTTTAATAAGTGTGATTTTCAAGAATTCTGTTTCTTTTCTTACACAACTCATTCTAAAACTATCTATGTGACTTAATTAGTTACTCTATAGGAATAAAACATGAGGAAAAATACCAGCAGTAGTCTATTACACCATCCCTCTCATATATATATGTTCTTTTCATCCCTCCTTTATAAAAGATAGAGCTGAATATAATAAACCATTAAAACCCCTAATAAGTAAATTTCTGATGCCACCTTCAAAATATTTCCTCACTACGAATATCTTTCTTGAGTGACTGAAAATGTACATAAGGTTTGTACTCTTTGATGCTAGGGTGATACTCAGGCAAAAACTAAGCAAGCATCAGATATCATTCTAAATCACGTTCAAAATTTGAGGAACCAGTCATAAAACAGAAATAAGTGATATTTTTAAAGTTACTGAAACAAACACATTGCTAAGCAGTTCCAATTGACTAAAAGATAGCAATAACTAAGAAAAAAAGATCAAGGAAGATTTCAAGGGGGGGGGGGGCGGTAATCAATCAACAAAATATGTCAAGCCAAGGAGCTTCAAGTAAGTTTGATATTTCTAGTTTTACCAAATACTTTAAACATACAGAAATTTCTCTCTTTAAGAGAGAATCATACTTTGGCAAAAGTTCTAAAAGTTCCTGTGCCAACAAGAAATTATTACTATTTTCTGACAAAGATTTTAATTCATCAATTAAAATACTATAGATTGAGTACCAAATGCAGAATATAAGGCAGTTTTTCTTTTCAATGAAACTGCAAACTAAGAGTCTAGTGCTAATACCCCCCAGGTAAATTTCACATGAATCAAACTTTTAATTTAGTATTAGATGTGATGAAGCTATCTTTCAAAACAAAATAATTCTAGTTGCCGTTGAGACTTAACAAATTTAAACACAGCCACAAAAAAGCTAACCTATGTTACTTTAAGAGATTGCTGTCTTTTAAGAGGTGACTCTGCTTCCCTACATCTTGAACTTAATCTCTGATTAGTTATGAAGGATAAATATAAAGCATTTAAAATCAGGAACCAATTATTTTCATTTAAATCACCCAGACTACATATTATTCTCTACTTATTAATATTGTCCCTCAGTTAAATATTAACATTTCTTTATAACAATTAATACTTATCTGTCAATCAATGAGTCTTAGAATTTAAGTAAGTTAATTGTTCACAAAAAGGATCTAACTTGTCTCAGGTTTCCAAACCCATTTAATAACTTGCATATTTCTTTTTAACTCTCTTTTGTTTTTTACTAATATAATTAAGCATGCTTAGGAAACAGTTCATCCCAAACACCAATTTCACTTACATTATCATGTTTAAAAAAACACAACATCTTCAATTCCCGGAAGACCCTTTTGCAAGAGACCAGATTCTGGAAGACGTTGGGCATCTTTTTGAGTGCTACTCTCTTTCCATCTCTTGGATCTGTTACTGACCTAAAGAAGCAATATTTGGAGGAGAGGGGGAAAAAAGACAAAAACATCAATTCCAAGCCTTGTTCTTTAATGTTTTGGAGCATGACAAATATCTGTATCTTAAAAACTGAACATTAAATCCACTTTATAATGCGTAAGGTGCCAGTTAGAAAGAAGATTTTAAAAAAGTACACACCTATAATCAAAGGGAATGTTTAGCCAACACAATTCATTCGCCACGCTTTTTCCTTTATTTATTTTTAGAAAAGCAAGAGAGAATTTATTGACCGCAGCAAAAACACACTTAGGACAGTGAAACCGGAAGGGCATAGCAGAAGCAACAGAAGAGCGTAGACTGGGCTGCTTTGGCTCACTGGGAAGTCAGAGAAAGAGGGCCCTTGGAGACAGGTTCGACAGGTTCAGCAGATTAGACAGAGCTGCCATTGTCCACTGCTCCCCTGGTTGCAAGCCTTGCGGGGCTCTTGAAGTTTAGGAGATAATGTGCTTGTGGGGAAAGGAAATGGCATGGGCGTGCTTCCTGGAGGGAGAGTGCCACTTGTTCCTTTATTTTTATTCCTGTCCAAATTTTTATAAACAGTCACTCTTTCTGAGATGTTACTTAGTAATACATCTGTAATGGGAGGACTATTAGTGGCAAAGCCATTTTAAAGATGGAAGGAAAAAGGTATAGAACATTAACATAATTGAGGTCAAATTAGTTTTATATGCTGTATTTTCAGAACCAAATTCAATATGGGAGAGATGTTCATTCAGATGTCATCACATTTATTTAACATATCTCTTAGTTTCTCATATAAATGAACAGCTTTTAGTAATAAGGATTTCAAAATTTCAGTACCACCAGTAGTTGAACAGTGTCCTCTCATCAGAAGACTAAGTGCCAGTTTATGGCTGTAGCTTCTAGATTATGAGAAAGCCTTTTATTTCTCAGCTCTTGCTGTGATAGCTGCTTCCTATAAATACTATCTCTTTAATAACTCAGAGTCCCCTTTTTACTCATTTAGCCTTCTAACACATGTAAAACCAATTCCCTGTATTTCCTTCCCTATGTTTAAAATAAAATACTGTGTAGTTTCCATTTTTCTGACTGAACATAATTGATACAAATAGTTGTGTTTTCTCTTTTTAATCAATAAATTTGGTAAATATGGCCAAGTGACCATTTGGCAAATTGATTTTCCATAAATTAACACAAAGCTTTTACTTCCGTTCCACCCATCATCTGTGAACGTTTGTCCTTGTATAATTCACTAGAGGCCTGATGCACGAAATTCGTGCTAGAGTAGGCCTGCCTTCCCCAGGCTGCCGACAGGCACCCAGGACCAGGGCTTCCCTCACAGCCCTGGTTTTGTCTGGAAGGATGTGTGGTCTACTAGCACATTATGCTTTTATTATTATAGATTTCTATCAGGTTTATTTTGCTAATCATTTCCAGCTACCATTACCTTTCAGTTCTAGTTTCAGTGATCCAATGCTTTGGCTATCACTCTGGATTTGTGTCATTTAAAAATGACAGCCCCTGGGTCAGGTAGCTTAATTGTTTAGAGCACTGTGCTAATTAGTCCAAGATTATGAGTTCAAATTACAGCGGGGAGGGGAGGGAGATCTGGGGTAGATAAGAGATCAACCGAAGAACTTGTATACATCTATATAAGTATAACCAATGGACACAAAACTCTGGGGAGGGAGAGCATGTATGGGAAGCGGGGGGGGGGGGGGGGGGGGCGCAATGGTATATGTACACAGATCATAATTTAATTTTAAAAATACCAACCAAACAAAATGAAATGGAACCCAATGTATGGGAGAACATATTCGCCAGTCTGATAAAGGGTTCATCTTCAAAATATATAAAGAACTTATACAACTGAATGGACCTAGAGATTATTATGCTAAGTGAAATATGCCCATCCGAGAAAGACAAATACCAAATGATCTCACAAATACCAAATGAACCACATAAACTGATGAACAAAACAGAACCAGAGGCATGGATATATGGAAACAGACTGATAAATGTCAGAGGGGAAAGGGGTTGGGGATACTGAATAAAGGATTAGCTAAAGAACAGATATGCATAGCCCATGGACACAGACAATAGTGTGTTAAGGGCCAAGATGGGGGGGAGGGACTTGGTGGAGGTAGGCAAAGGGGGAGGGAATGGGGGACATCTGCAATAGTGTCAACAATAAAAAATTTAAATAAAAAAAGACAACCAAGATCCAAAACATTGTTTAAAATCCATATAAACTACAAAAGTAAAATAGGAAGGAAACTGAATCTATTTAAATCAGACAATTAAAAACATTTTTCCCCCCGTTTAAATATATCTCTGTAGGTAGAAGCCAGAAGAGAAAAAATGTCAATGAAATGGCAAGGAAGGAAATTTTTGGATCACGCATTGCATTTAATTGCCAATGTCTCTTGAATCTTCTTTAGTCTAAGACCGATTACTTAGCACTTCTTTGTCTTTCATGATATTGCCATTTTTGAAGAGTATAAGCCAATATTTTGTAAATTGTTCCTTAACTTGGGTCTGTCTGGTATTTTTCTCATGGTTAGTACAAGTTATGCATATTTAACAGGGATAATACAGAAGTGGTGTCTTCTCAGTGCATCACATTAGGAGACACATCATACCAATTTTCCCCATTACTGGTGATTAACTTTGATTACTTGAATGAAGTGTCTGTCAGGTTTCTCCACTGCAAAGTTACTATTTTCCCCCCTTTTAACTGTGTAAATATTCTTTTTTCTGATCCAATTTGACCTACTGCTTTTAGTACCCATTGATGATTTTTGCCTAAATCAATTATTACTATGACTGCTAATTGGTACTTTAATAATTTTAATATCCGCACAAAAATATTTGCTCTTACAAGGTTAGTGCTGTGCCTTGTTGTTTTAAGGTAAAATTCACAAAGCAGCCTTTATTTTATTATTCATGCAAAAGTCAGTCATGCCTGTGGCTGGTAACAATATAACCCTAATGAATGTGAATGGCTGTGCAGTAATTTCACGCCATGTTGAGTTTGTTCTCTGTTAACTTGAGGTAGCAGATGCCTTAATTCAGCACAAATAGTACCACAGAACTCAGATAAGTGTGGAAGCCTATTACACAGGAATTCTTTTATTTTCTTTGTTACTGAGAGGCTTCCTGTGCTTAGTTTCTCTGCTGCTGAAATACCCTGATTATTCCAACTGCACTTGCTAGAAGTTCCAGCGGTAGAGATAAGGAACAACATTTAGGGCAAATTCCTTCATTTCAGAAAAGAAAAAAGAAAAAAAAAAAGCAAAAAAAAAAAAAGTCTTCAAACAACAACTTACTTACCAGTCACTTACTTTCTCTACTAAATACTAGATGCCCTAAATAAAACAGTGTATCTGTCATCTTAACTGATTACCTTCATGGGCATTCAAGTTATACTAACAATATTTACTTTCTAAGTTTTAAATTAATGTGTGATTCTACAAACACTAAATTAAAAATAAAGTTTTAAGGGTTGTGGAAAAAGAATCCTTCCTTACATCTGCTCAGAGTGCATCAATCCTTTTCTGCACCTAATATACAAGTTCAACTGTTTTTTAAGCAGCAAAAATCCACAAGCCATTCTTCAGAGAGATACAGAGTCAGTCAAAGGAGTACAATACTGAGATCAGGAAGCTTTTTAGATCTGGTGTGGCCATTTTTATTGTTGTTTCTAGAAAATTGTGACCATTGCCACAAATCTGCTTAAGTTACTGACAAGCAGAAGGGTTGGAATGAAACAAAATAAAACTTATTATGGGGATACTCTCCCAGACACTAGATCTGTGATTTTTAACTGGTGAGCTTCAAGAATTTTTAAAACATGCAATACATGACTATTTGGTCAAGAGCAATGGCCTCCTTTGCCTTAGATTGTCAAATAAAAAAATGTCAACAGACAAAACACAGTAGCCATTTAGTGTAAATGAATCAAAATTATAATAATTCTTGTTGTCAGATGGGCAAAAATTTATTTTTTGGTGCACCTCAGAATTTTAGCAATTAATTTATGTGCCATGAGATTAAAAAAAAAGGTTGAAAATTGCTGAACTAGAATGTTACAACTTGAAATTAGTATAACTATTTAGTAAGAATCTCCAAGATAAGGTTTTTAACTATATTCAAAGCAAATAAATAACTTATATTGCAAATAAATAAATTATAATGCGAATGCTTCCACTTGGATTAAGAAATCAGGTTCTTCTAATTCTATTCACATAAACTTGTAATCAGTAATCTTCTATTTTTTTGCTAAACACACCATGTATGCCGGCTAATAATGTTGATTTTGTAATCAAAGAAAACAAGATAATTTCAAGAGAAACATCAAAAAGTGCGTTATTCAAAGTAATGTCCGTTGCTAGCTATGCATTTCTCCCATCTTTCAGATAATTTGTGGATACCTTCCCCATAGAACTTTTCTTGTTTTGAGGCAAACTATACAGAGACACAATTTTCCACTCCTTCCTAGCTGCTCATGAAATGCAAGTGCCATCGATGGGAACAATTGGTAATCTGAAGGAGCAAGCTCTGGTGAATACGGCGGGTAAGTTTATACTTCCCAGGCAAGATCTTTTAACGTGTCTTTAACTGGTTATGAAGTGTGTGATGGTGCGTTATCATGAAGCAAAATTATTCTACTTTGCCATGTCTTCTGGTCCATTCTGGTCAAATTCATCTGTTGTTGGTAGTGATCAGTATTAATGGTTTCACCTGGTTTTAGAAGCTCATAATACACCACACCTTCCTGATCCCACCAAACACAGAGCATTGTCTTCTTTCTGAAGCGATTTGGCCTTGCAGTCAATGTTGATGGTTGACCTGGGTCAACCCATGATTTTGTGCCTTTGGGATTCTCAAAATAAATCCACTTTTCATCGCCAGTCACAATTCTATGCAAAAAAGACTTTCTTTCGTGCCGTTGAAGCATCACTTTACTGACAACTTTTCAGCTTTCCATTTGTCTTTCGTT